GAAGGAGGGGAAGGAGGGGAAGGAGGGGAAGGAGGGGAAGGTACAGCTTAGGGATCTACAAACGATCTGTGTCTACAACAGAGAAAGAACTCCTAACCCTCGGCTGAGAGAAGCTGGGGGAGGGGCTGGGGAACAGCTCGGGTGCAGCACAAATGTTCAGATCCCAGCACCCACATAGAGGCTGAGTGTAACAGCACTTGGGGGAGGGGCGTGGGGACTAGAAGGTCATTTGGGCTTGTTGGCCTCAAGCCCAGCTCTGGGTTTACGTTCAGTGACAGATCCTGTCTCAAGGGAATATGACAAAGTGACAGATCAGGACACCTGATGTCCCCTCTGAGCCCCACAGGTGTGCGTTCACCATACACATACAAATATGCATGGTTGTCCTGGAACTCACTAGGTAGATTAGTCTGGTCTTGAACTCACAGAGATCTACCTGCCTCTGTCTCCCAAGTGCTGGTATTAAAGACGTGTGCCAGCATGACCAAGCAGCATGGTTTTTGTTTTCTTAAGGTAGACTTTATTGAATATAAATTATATATTATACCATGATAGACATAACTTAAAAACAAACTACCTGCCTGTACCGGGTACTATAAAAACGTGAGACAACTGATATAACAGGGCTCTATAGCACAGCCCAGCTGTGACAGGCGCACTTTATGACTTCACACTCCCACCCCAAAGAAATGTCCCAAGACATTCCAGCACAAAGGGACAAACTGGCTAAGAAGTCAGACTTCCCAGCAATCAATGTTTTGGGCACTCTGTCAGTACAACAGGGCTCAATAGTTGCCTCCCTCCTCATCTTATAAGAGATAAGCTCAAATAAAAGCTGGTCTTCCCCCCAAACCAAGTCAGCTCTATTCTTTTATTTGTTGCATTTATCTGACGCTACACTATACTTGTGCACGTTTCCTGTCTGTATTTGTATAAGAAGGAAACGTCAAGGGGACAAGACTCGCCTCAGTCTTGCTTACAGCTGTGTCTCCACGTGTCCTGAAGAGGGTGTCACAAATACACAACAGTCAATAACCTGCTCAGATAATCCGGACCTGAAGAAAGAGACAGGAGCCGTGAATGGCAGAGCATGCCTGCGGGCCCAGCACTCAGAAGGCTGAGGCAGGAGACTGCTCACACTGGATGGATCCTCTAGGCTGAAGAAATAACTCATCATATCAGAAGTGGCTTCTGGAAGAGATGCTGTGTGAGTTGTCTCAAAGAAGTCAAGAGAGAGAAGGAACTCTCAGAGAAGGAAATAAAAGTCATCCAAGAAGCAAGAAGAGATGATGGGAAACACACTTACAAATGTTAGCACGCTCATGTGTAATCACGACTGTACTCTCAGAAGCAGAAGAACGAAACACACACCTAACTCTTACAGTAACACGACTCCTGCTGCTGTGCACCACCAGAACTGCAGCTCTCACAAAGCCAGTTCAAACTGGGCCATGTCGCTGAGCGTTTCACACCACTAAAATCTAACAAATGGGCATTGTTGGCGGGTGTAAAGGGAGCTGGCAACGTCCAGTGGTGGCTTTTACAGGCTAAGCCTACATTTCAACACAATTCCTGGCTGCCAACAGGTGTCAGGTTTAGCAGAAATTACCCCTGCCCCAGGTTAGTGCTATTCAGGTCTGGAACAGGGTACCTAAAAGGGGAGGAGAGCACACGGAGGCGGCAGGGAGTGAGGCTTCTCCGACATCATTCAACAGCCTCCCATACACAAACCATCTTTCATGACCAAACAACCAGCTAAACAGAACAGCACAAGAAAAATTTTTAAATTACTTTAACATCTGTCAGGAAATAGAATTCTAAGTAACTATTAACCTTTGTTTGTTTGTTTATCTTTTAATTGCACGTGCCTATAACCCCAGCACTTGGGAGGCAGAGACAGGCAGATGTCTACCACAGCCAACCTGGACTACACAGTGAATTCCAGGCCTGCCAGGGCCACACAGTGAAAAACCCTGTCTCAAAAAAAAAAAAAAAAAGCCATTACTATATTCCCCAAAGCATCTTCTATTTTCAAAAGCTACATTTCGATGACACCTTGGCTTTCCTTTCTATACCACCTCAGTGTTGTACCTCATTTTGTGGAAGAAAAAAAAAAAAAGTCACCTGGCCACACCTGGCAGGCTGTTTTTTAATCCCCACCTAACAGTACATAAAGCAGTGCTCTCGAGCACACACATACCACCACCACCACCACCACCACCACCACCACCACCATCACCACCACCACCACCACCACCACCACCCCCACCCCCCCCCACCCCACCCCCCAACCCCCCCACCCCCGCTCCAAATGAGGCACACTAATCCAGAATTCCTGCTGACCTCCTCTCCCTCTAACGAGTCTGCATACCAAAATGGCAGTGAAAGGGGTAAGTCTTCTCCCTGTAAGAAGACTTCGCCTGTGCTCCTGAGGGCGAGCTCTCCTCCAGACCTCCTGAATGAACCTGTCAGCAGTGCAGCATCCCGGTCTGCAGCACACCTCCTCCTCTGTACAGCCCCCGGGTCCTCTCAGTCGCATGCCCTGGTACCTACCCTCAAGCACCCACTTTGGTCTCCGCCATACCAAGCTGTGAGCAGCTTTTCTCTCTCACACTGCCGCACCACAACATTTTTCCTCATCTCATATGCCCAGACACAATGGAGTCAGCTGCTCCTGAAAACTGTGAGTCCAAACAAATCTTTGCTCTTTTCTTTGCAGTCCTCACAGCACTGGAAGCTGACTAGTGCAGCCACAGGCACAGTTCAGTTTCACCCTCTAAAACACAGCTCTTCCTCTTTTTTAAAAAAAGCTTTAACAAGGCCAGTGTGGTGGTACACAACTTTAGTCCCAGCACTTGGAAGACAGAGGCAGGAGGACCTTTGTAAATCTGAGGCCAGCCTGGTCTACTGAGTGGGGTCCAGGACAGCTAGGGCTACACACAGAAACACTATCTCGAAACATATATCAAGTAGCTTTCAAAGTTCCTATCATGACAATTTTTTATTAGTTTAGAAAATAATTATCTTATGTGAGTATTTGGGGTGCACATGTTTGTACACGTGCTTAGTGCCTGCAGAGGTCAAAACAGTGTCTACGACCTTGAAACTGGAGTTATGAACAGTTATGAGCCACCACCTCGGCGTGGAGATTGAACCTGACTCCTCTGCAAGAATCCTCTTGACCTCTGAGCCATCTCTCCAACCCCTATGTAGTAAGTTGATTCCAGCCCTTCATCTTTCTAAACTATACCAGGCCCTGCCTGGCAAGAGAAACCCACCAGTGCAATATGGCCACTGTAGTAAGTGCCAATTGCTCCTTCCTTTATGCCCTGTCCACGTTGTTGGGCCCTACTTGAAGCGCTAGGAATGTAGCAGTGGCCTAGCAGACACAAAGCTCTGCCTTCATAGAATGCATTCTCGGGGTGGGGCTGGGGGAGGGGCAGTAAATAATGAGAACCATAAGTGCTACAGAGAAAAGTCAGCATGATCAGGGAAGGGCCTGCAGAGAAGACTTTTGGACTAAGATCAGGTGATGAAGAAGCTATCCGATGAAGATGATCCGAGGCAGACAGAACAGGCAGAGTTCCCAGATGAGAATTCCTATGCTCAAATGAGCAGGGAGGCCAGTTACTAGAGCAAGTGAGGGAGAACACAGCAGGACAGGCTGGCCAGATCACACGGCATTATCATAGAAACTCTGACTCTACTACTCGGAGAAGAAGGCAGGTTTTGAGCAGAGATGGATGCAAATCTGACTCTGGTTTTATCATCAGGCTGCTATGTAAAGAACTGAGGGACAAGGACAGGAGCAGAGAGACACACAAAGCTCAGATCCACTGGGACGTAGTAGAAACCAGGATTCAATGGTGAGTTAGACTATGGAGTATGAGAAAAAGAGGGGGCAAGGATAACCTCAGAGCTTTTGGACTGAGTAACTAAGAAAACACAACTTAGTGACAAGAGGGCAGACCACAGTAGAACATGCTTTAAGGGGAGAGGGGCCCAGAGCTCTGTTTCACACACACCTCTAAGATATGTTACGTGTTGCCATGGTTTAATGTGCCCTCTAACACACACTGAAATCTAGTTTCTAGTGTAGCAGTATTAAGTGGCAAAGCCTTTTAAAGGGTCTAAGGGTCACAAAGGCTCTGCCCTCAGCAATAGACAGACTCCATTACCTCAGGGGTAGGCTCTTGAGAAATGAAAGGGTTCAGCTCCCAGCCTGCTCTCCTGTTTGGCCCACCTCCCTTGTCCCTCCACTGCCTCAGAACACAGTAACTAACAAAGCTCTCACCAGATGCAGCTGCTCTGTGGTGGATTCCTAGGCTCTGAGAATGGGAGCCAACTCAACTTAGCATGTCTCTAATTTACCCAATCTGTGATATTTTGTTATAGCAGTGGAAACGTCCTAAGACAGGTGTTCTCATACACATGTCAGTTAAACAGCTATGCAGACACTTCAGAATTCAGTGGTGGGCCCGTGTTGAACACAGAAACCTGGGAGTCATCAGCAAACTGTTTTTAAAACACAAGGATACATGAGATCCCCAGGGAGTGAATGAACCAGAACTAAGCCTTGCAACACTCCAATGCCTAGAACTTAGGAGATGAAGAAATTACCAAGACAAGCCCAAATGTGCAGCCAGTAAACAAATGAAGAAAGAAGCCTGGACACGTGCTATGAAGGCCGGAATTAACCACTGCATCTTGCAAAGTGGTGATCACTAAGGACCTCAGCAAGAACAAGTTTGGGAGAGATCAGACAAAAGCTATGGAATGATTTCAAGAAAGAGCCAGATGAGAGGAAGTAGAGCTAGTGAACACAGCCAGGGTCTCACAAGGTCATCAACCATGCCCTAGACAATGTGATCTCAGGCTTTCAAAAGGAACCTCTCTCCAGCCCCACGTACATTCTATGAATCAGGCTGTTTACTGGTAAGAAAACCGAAGCTTGACATGCTAGCTAATTTTACGTCAACTTGAAATAAGCTACAGTCAACCTGGAAAGGAGGAACCTAGATTAAGAAAATGGCTTCAACAGAGCAGGATGTGGGCAGCCCTGTAGGGCATGTTCTTAAAGATTGATGTGGGAGAGCCCAGCTCATCGTGGGTGGTGGGCTCCTGCGCTAGTGGTCCTATGCTCTATAAGAAGCAAACTGAGCAACTATGAGGAGCCAGCCAGTAAGCAGCCTTCTTTCACGGCCTCTGCATCAGCCCCTGCCTCCAGGTTTCTGCCCTGCTTTTGATAATAAACTGTTATAGGGAGTAAATAAATTCTTTCCTCCTCAAGCTGCTTTTGGTCACTATGTTTCATCACAGCAATAGAAACCCTAACTAACACACTCAGAGAAGTTGAATAACTAGACCAAGGTCAGACTGGAGTGACAGGGCCAGAAATCCAAGGCACACGGATCCAAATCCAGTCTAAGACTAGTATCTTATGTGGAGTCCCCAGCTTTGGAGGGGGGTGGTCAGAACCTTTGTCTTCCAGGATTTGTCACCTCTACAGCAGGCCTTTGTGAGAACACTGCCGCAGACTGCTCTCCCAGCCGGAAGCCCTGTGAGCCTGCTGTTGCTCTAGGTGAAGCCACTGTGGTACTGACCTGAATTGGGAAGCACCGATCCTTTGCCGTTCTTCACATCCACAACCCAGGTAGCTTCTTTGCCCCCAGGGCCATCTTTCACTTTGAAGGCAAAAATGCCACCGATTTTCTTCACGAACTGTTCCCCTTCCTGGAAACAGAAGTAACATCAGGAATTACCTTCCTTCCCCTCCTCTGACTTTAAGTATTTAAACAGGTTCATGATGTGGGCAGCTGAGATGGCGGAGTCGGTGGACACCTGTTTTATTTACTCAGGAGTCAAAAAGGAAGCGGCAACAACTCCCTCTCCTGTCAACTCTGTAAAGCAGCTTGACAAAGGGAAAGAAGGAGCAGCGGCATGGAGCACCTTCTGGAGACAGAGCCTGCATTTGCCCTCTCTAAGAGCCTTTGCTTCAGAGTCAGTTCCTTAACTTTTAAGTTTCTTTCTCTACAATCAAGACTAAAAGTGATTCTGGAACCAAAGCTTTCTTTAAAAGTTCAATTCCTGTCTTAGTATAAAGAATTATATAAACAATATTCCATTGGCCTCTTAATATTGGACCTTGGGAGTGCAATGGCCTAATACATAACATTGTCACCGTGATTTCTAGCAGACGGCTCCCTTCTCCTTCCCACTTCATTCTCACTCCACTTTCTGCATCTTCCTGAAACATGGCCCCAGACTCTGTGCTAGGCACCAGGATCAGAGCAGCAAGGGAATCAGACCAACCCAGGCTAGCAGTATTCTGTACTGTAGTGACAAAACCTTCCAATAAATGAGAGCATGGGGACACGGAAGCTGCACAGTGGGCAATGGAAGACGACGATGGCACATGCACCTTGCCCTAAAGAAAAGCAGCGGCTGGCAAGATGGTTCAGTGTTTGCCTATAACCCATGTTTAATCCCCAGGCCCATTATAAAGGTAGGAGAGAACAGCCGCACTCAGCCATCCTCTGACCTTCACATGTGAGTCACAGCACACATACCCCACCACATCATGTTCACAGGCACAGACTCTAATGGTAAATACATTTCTAGTTAAAGAAAGGAAGCCAGAGTCCAGAGAGGAGGCTCAGTGGTTAAAAGTGGCTACACTTCCAGAGGACCCAGGTTCAATTCCTAGCAACCACAGTGTCTCACAACTATCTGTAACTCCAGTTGCAGAGGATCCAATCCCCTCTTCTAACCTCCATGGGCACTAGGCATACACACGGTACACAGACATGCTCGAAGGCAAAACTACAAACTAATTTAAAAATAAATTAATTTTGAAAAAAAGAAAACCAAAATTGGCACAATTTTTTGGTATCTTTTTTAGAAAAGAGACATATTCATTGTAGACAAATTAGCAAATACTTATAAACAAAAGGAAAACAAGTCATTTCTAATTTAATCATATAAAGAAACATCACAGCTGTTATCAATTCCATCTTTTTTTTTCTACACAATAGTTTTAAAAACAGGTGTGATGACTGAGCATGGTGGTTCATAGCCTTTATTCTTGACACGCAAAAGCTCAAGGCAGGTGGATCTCTGTGAGCTCCAGACCAGCCTGGTCTACATAAGCAAGTTCCAGAAGAGCCGGGGCTACATAAAGACACTCTAGATCCAGTGGGGTGGTATACATGTAATCCCAAGGCAAGAGGACTAAAGGTTCCAGGCCAGACTGAACTAAAAACTGAGTCTAGGACAGCCTAGGTTGCACAGCTAAGAACCTAATCAAAAGGAGTGGGGATGGACTGTCTATTTTTCTAGCTAATATATCCTCCCGAGTGCTGAGAATAAAGGCATGCAGCACCACACCTGGCTTGTCCTTTTCTTCTTCAATAAAGAAAAATCTTTACATTTGTGTGCGTGTGTGTGTGTGTGTGTGAGAGAGAGGGGGGGGACAGTCTGTTTTTTGACACATGGTTTTACTCTGTAACATAGGCTGATCTCGGACTGGCAGCCTCCTCAGGTCTCAGCCTCCCACATGCTGCTACAGCTACAAGCAAGAGCACCTGTACCCGGCAGCATTTCTAGCTAAATTTATTTTTGGGTATTTTACAGTGTTCTTGTTAATAATACACTTTTCATTATATTTTATGACCAAATTATTACAGATACATAGAAAATATGGTAATCTTTGTATGCTTTTTCTGGAGCTGGCTACTTTTTGAGTTTTCCTCCTCCATTTCAGACTTAATGTCCTGCAGTAATTTATATATCCAGGGTTCTTCATCCCTATTCTTCCCTTAACAAAGATTTAAAGTGCTCACTGTAGTCAGATTGTAATGAGCACCCGAAACACTCAAATGCTTGTTTCCCTGGAGGAACTCACATTAACTGACATCACACAGTAACCTCTGTTTCTATGTGTGCAGAGCCATGGCCCAGATTTGTGTTCCCTTCTTCCGTCCCTGTGTGTGTGTGTGTGTGTGTGTGTGTGTGTGTGTGTGTGTGTGTGT